CCATGTCCTCTCCTGAAACCAGCTTGTATTTCTGAAAGGTCTCTGCCAATATATTGCTGCAACTGTTTTCTTAATTATTTTTAGCAAGATTTTACTTACATGCGATATTAATGATATCATTTGATAATTTCCACATTCTGTGGGATCACCTTTCTTTGAAATGGGTACAAATGTGGATCTCTTCCAGTTGGTTGGCCAGACACCTGTCCTCAAATCTCTTGGCATAGCTGAGTGAGTGCCTCCAGCGGGGCATCCGTTAATTAAAACATTTCAATGTATATTCTGTCAATTCCCAGAGCCTTGTTCTTCACCAATTCCTTCAGTGCAGCTTCAACTTCTTCCTTCAGTACCATTGGTTCTTGATCATATGGCATCTTCTGCAATGGATGAAGATTGACCAGGTCTTTTTGGTATAGTGACTCTGTGTATTCCTTCCACCTTCTTTTCATGCTTCTAGCATCATTCAATATTTTACCTTTTACCCATTGTTGTTGTTGTTGTTATGTGCCATCGAGTCAGCCCCGACTCATAGCAACCCCTCCTTGGGTTTCCAAGGCAGTATCACTATGGAAGTAGGATTGCCCAACCTTCCTTCCGAGGAGTGGCTGGTGGGTTTGAACCGCCAGCCATCTGGTTAGCAGGCAAGTGTCTTAGCCACTATGCTACCAGAGCTCCTATTTTACCCATAGAATCTTTCAATATTGCAACTCTAGGCTTAAACTTTTTCCTCAGTTCTTTCAGCTTGAAAAACGCCTAACCTGTTTTTCCCTTTTGGCTTTCCAACCCCAGGTCTTTGCACATTTCATTATAGTAATTGGCTTTGTCCACTCAAGCTGCTCTTCAAAATTGTCTGTTCAGCTCTTTTATCTTCTCATTCTTCCATTTGCTTTAGCAACTCTCCATTTAAGGGTAAGTTTCAGAGTCTCTTCTGACATCCATTTTGGTCTTTTCCTCCTTTCTCATCTTTTTAATGGTCTCTTGCGTTCTTCATGGATGACATTCTTGATGTCGTCCCACAATGATTCTGGTTTTTGGTCACTGGTGTTCAATGGATCAAATCTATTCTTTAGATGGTCTCTAAATTCAGGAAGGATGTATTTCAGGTCATATTTTGGCTCTCGTAGACTTGTTTTAATTGTCTTCAACTTCAAGTTGAACTTGCATATGAGCAGCTGATGGTCTGTTCCACAATAAACTCCAGGCCTTATTTTGGTTAAAGATACTGACCTTTACCTTTGCCTCTTGCCACAGATGTAGTCAATCTGATTCCTGTGTGTTCCATCTGGTGAAGTCCATTCATACAGCTGCTGTTTGTGTTGTTGAAAAAAGGTGTTTGCAGTGAGTAAGTCATTGGTCTCGCAAAATTCTATCATGCGATCTCCAGTGTTATTTCTGTCACCAAGGCCAAGTTTTCCAACCACTGGTGATTCTTCTTTGTTTCCACCTTTTGTATTCCAGTCACCAGTGATAATTAATGCATCTTGATTGCACGCTTGGTCAATTTCAGAATGCAGAAGTTGATAAAAATCTTCAATTTCCTCATCTTTGGCTTTGGTGGTTGGTGCATAAATTTGAATCATAGTCGTATTAACGGGTCTTCCTTGTAGGCGTATGGATATTATCCTATCACTGACAGCATTGTACTTCTGGATAGAGCCTGAAACATCCTTTGTGATGATGAATACCATGCCATTCCTCTTCAAATTGTCATTCCCGGCATAGTAGATCATATGGTTGATTGATTCAAAATGGCCAAAACTAATCAGCTCACTAATGCCTAGGATATCAATCTTTATGCGTTTCATTTCATTTTTGATGACTTCCAATTTTCCTAGATTCATACTTCATACATTCCATGTTCCAATCAAACCCACCAGCCACTCCTCGGAAGGAAGGTTGGGCGATCTACTTCCGTAGTGATACCATCTCAGAAACCCAAGGAGGGGTCACTATGAGTTGGATCCAACTTGACAGCAGTGACTTGGGGTTTTTTTGGTTTATATAGTATGTGGTGCATTTCTATCTATAAAAAAATTAAGAAACACTGCCCATTTGGCATTAAAACAGTTTAACATAATACTAATAGTTCTGACGCAAGTTACAAAGTAGTGCCCATTTGTTATTACAAACCATCGTATGTACCTTGAATTTTTATAGGGGTGAATTTTTACAGGGGTTGGTTCATAACTACAGGTTGTGTGTAAATAAGATATTCATAACCTAGGAACTACCTATATAGATCAATAGAATCTAATTGTTGTTGTTGTTGTTGTTATGTGCCATCAAGTCAGACCCGACTCATAGCGATCCCTCCTTGGGTTGCTGAGGCAGTATCACTATGGAAGTAGATTGCCCAACCTTCCTTCTGAGGAGTGGCTGGTGGGTTTGAACTGCCAGCCTTCTGGTTAGCAGTCAAGTGCCTCAGGCACTATGCTACCAGAGCTCCCAGAATCTAATTAAGACTCAGATATTTATAGTCTGTTGATTTTCAACTAATGTGCCAAGATAATTCAGTGAGAAAAGAATAATCTTTCAACAAATGGAGCTAAGACAAGTGGATATCCTCACACCATATACAAAAATCAATTCTATATGAATCAAAGACTTAACTATAAGAACTCAAACTATAAAACACAAGAAAACATAGGTGTACATCAACAGCTTAATAATCAATAGCTTCTATTTATTAAGCTTCCATTTTATGATGGTCATCCTATCAGACTCTTCATACACATTTTCTTGCTTTTAAAGCTGTGGGTCCCACTTCATCTATTCCCATCAATTCCCTGTTTCACACCTACCATACATAAGCCCTAAGCCTATCTTAAAAATACAACTTAAGTGGAATGAAACTTAAAATCATAAAAAAGATCAGGCTTATTGGTTTGATAGAGACTGGTGAAATGCCCAAGACTATGGCCCCTTCAAGCCTGGAATTGAACTCACTCCTGTGGCTTCTAGCCAAACAACAGATAGGTGTATAAGGTGAACATTTATACCTTAGATTGCACTCCTCAGAACAATCAACCATGGGAGATCAGAAGGGCAGTATTTGCACAGGGAGATAGCTCACAGGGCAGGAATATGTAGGAAAGAAGGACACAGGGAAAAGTAACCAAAGGGAGGAAGTGGGAAGAGAGCTGTGGCATTGTTGGGATTGCAATCAACGTTATGAAACAAAATGTTTATGAACTGTTGTACGGAAAATGAATTTGCTCTGCAAACGTTCACCCAAATCACAATTAAAATAATAATAGAACTCATATGGGCAGAAAATAGCTTCAAATGTTTTGTTCTACATTTAAAGTGTACAAGGAGCTACCTAACATATGGAATGTCTATTTGTCACTGTAGCATAGTGGCTAAAGCACTTGACTGCTAACCAGAAGGCTGGCGGTTCAAACTCACCAGCCACTCCTCGGAAGGAAAGTTGGGCAATCCTACTTCCATAGTGATACTGCCTCAGAAACCCAAGGAGGGGTCGCTATGAGTCGGGGGCGACTCGACGGCACATAACAACAACAACAACATTTGTCACTGTTGTTTTAATTCATCAGAGTTGGACATTAAAGGGAAAGGCTAATAAAAGGTACAAAAGGATGCATTAGTCATTCGTTTCTGTACACTATTGTTTTCTATTCCACTAATTTCAAGTTCAAATATTTTTTTAAACATAGCAGTCACTTTAATTTGAGAAGGAGGAAAAAAGCTATTTCAAATATACACAGAGCAAAGCCTGCCAGGAGCCATCAGAGAGGATGAACATATTTAAACTCCAAGGTTGCCTGTTTTGAAGCAAAAACCAACAACAGGTAACCAATAAACAGCCTGCCCTTTAGCCTTATACACCAAAACTGATGTTCTTGCAATCCTCAGCCTACATGACCATGAGATCAGAAGAACTAAATGGTGTCCAGCTACCACTGTCAATGACTCAGAAACGGATCAGTGCAAGAGATCCTGGATACAGTGGGAAAACAATAAGGAACAAAACTCAAAATCATTTAAAAAAAAAAAAAAAAAGGACCAGGTTTACTGCTTCGATAGAGCCTGGTAAGACCCCCAAGGCCATGGCCCCTAGTTACTCTCCAGGTCTGGAACTGAACTCACTCCTGTGGCTTCCAGTAAAACAACAGACATTGAGCATATTTACATCAGGTAGATACACTCCTTAGAACAATCAATCATGGGAGAACAGAAGGACAAGGTTTACACAGGGAGATATCTTGGGGTAGGGGGCAGGAATACATAAGAAAGAACACAGGGAGGAAGTAGGAAGAGAGCTGTTACATTGTGGGGATTGCAGTCAACGTCACGAAACAAAATGTGTATGAACTGCTGTATGGAAAATTAATTTAGTCTGTAAACTTTCACCCAAATCACAACAAAAATTTTAAAAAAATATATGTTCTGAAGTCACCACAAACCATCACGGGGTTATGAATTGAAAAAGCACCTAAGATTCCCTGAGAAATGTGTGCAACTTTGTGTTAAGCTGTAGTTTGCTGGAGAGTCCATAGTGCTGTTCAGAACAGCACAGCCGGACATCACAGCAAAGATGCCCAATAAATATCTGCTGAGAGAATAAATGAAAGGAATCCAAAAATAAGTTAAGAGCCAGTTACTCAATATACTACTCAGTTTCATCTTCCATCTTCTTAAACTCCAAAATCACTCTAAGGCAAGTTTTTTGGTTTTTTTTTTTTTTTTTTTTAATTGTGATTTGGGTGCAAGTTTGAAGAGCAAATTCACTTTCCATACAGCAGCTCACAGACACTTTGTCTCATGACATTAACTGCAATTTCCCACAATGCAACAGCTCCCCTCCCACTTCCTCCCCATAGTTACCTCTTCCCTGTGTCCTTCCCTTCCATGCACTCCTGCCCCCTGAGCTGTCTCCCTATGCATAAGCAGCCCTTCTCTTCTCTCCAGGGGAAGTTTTGAGCTTTCTGTAACTGTTTTTCTTAACAAAACATCACACCACATTAACAGGTACTTACCAAGATTGGAGAATCCATCCTGAAGGGCCCATAAACGAGCCCATGGAGCAGGGACGGGCTCCTCTGGTTCTTGGTCCTCGGGAATAGAGTACAGCTCCTGAGTGGACACTGTGTCTAAGGAACTCAGAGTCCCAGAGCTGGAGTGAGAGGACTGGCTACACGTGGGGACCGTGTTGGAGGAGGAGCCAGATGTGCTCTGGGACTGCGAGGAGGAGCCATGGAGCTGTGAGGAAAGGCCTTGGGACTGCAAGAAGCTGCCGTGAGACTGCGAAGAGGAGGTGGCTGGCTGAGAAGAGGTCACACCCTGGGACTGTGAAGAGGTGCTGGCTTGGGACTGCTGACACGCCACATCCGGCTCTCGAGACATCACAACCTCAAAAAATAAGTGTCCACCAATAATGTAAGTTTCAAGGAACAAGACTCAAAAGTCAAGAATGAAGAATGAGTAAATTTCAATGTTTTTTTTTAAAAAAAACCATGACATACATGCTGTGCAAATATTAAAATTCTATGTTTGCTTTAAGCACTGGGCTCTTTTAAGATCCATATAGGATGAAATTGATAATACTCATTGCCGCCAGTTGATTCTGACTCATAGCCCTCCTTGGGTTCCTGAGGCAGTCTCTAAGGAAGTAGATTGCCCAGCGTGCCTTCCGAGGAGTGGGTTTGAACCGCCAGCCTTCTGGTTAGCAGTCAAATGCCTTAGTCACTACGCCACCAGAGCTCCCAATTATACATGTGGAAACTTGAATTGGTGGTGTAGGTTCTGCTGCGGAAATACTCTACAACAGCAAAACAAATTTTTTTAAATTAAAATTCTAACATTCTAGTCAAATAGTTCTTCAGAGGTGAAGATCACATTCAATAGAACATTTTTTGGTCTGAGAGCCACAAAACACATGGAAAAAAACAAAAGGATTTGAAAGCTACAAGTGAAAAAACAATGTAACTGAGTTGGGGCGATGACGTGAAAGACATATTCACCCAATTTTTTAAAATTAGTAATGAAATCTAAAACATATCAACATACAATCAACCCTACCCTTAAATTTCCTAGAGTTTTTGAGAGGAAAGGAAGGCTGGAAGCATCAGGTGATTCACCCAATTTTTTTAAATTAGTAATGAAATCTAAAGGAGCTCTGGTAGCATAGTGCCTAAGGCACTTGACTGCTCACCAGAAGGCTGGCGGTTCAAACCCACCAGCCAGTCCTCGGAAGGAAGGTCGGGCAATCCTACTTCCGTAGTGATACTGCCTCGGAAACCCAAGGAGGGGTCGTTATGAGTCGGGGCTGACTCGACGGCAAACAACAACAACAACAACAATGAAATCTAAAACATATCAACATACAATCAACCCTACCCTTAAATTTCCTAGAGTTTTTGAGAGGAAAGGAAGGCTGGAAGCATCAGGTGGCTCAGGGTAGAAGTTTCACAGAGAAACTACAAAGGCAAGGGTTGCCATTCATATAAAACACATCAGATGTGTCCTTTGCTCCAGCCTCAGGTCTACTCCAGGAAGACAGGGACCATGTCTGGTTTATTCATTCTAGACTCCGTGGCACCTAACCAGGGTCAAGCCACTTAAAGAGACAAAGTATAAACAAGACTCTAAACACTCCATGCAGCCCTTCGTGACACTAAGTAACTACTGGCACAACTTCTCAGCATCCTAAAAGGCCTTTCCTCCAGCCTCAGAATGCTGAGCCATTCTGAATCATAGATACCATACTAGGCGCTCCCTCCTTCACTTTAGAATTAGGTTAATGGACAGTTATACTTGGATAAGAGACCTTCCACTAAAAATCAAAGTAACTTGCAATGCTGACTGGATCTAATGTTTGTTGTAATGGGTATATTCCTTTTCAGCTCCCCACATACAGGTTAATCCTTCAAAAGAATGCCATAAACAACCACACAGCAACTACATGTTGTTGTTGTTATGTGCCGTCGAGTCGGACTCAACTCATAGTGAACCCTCCTTGAGTTTCCCAGGTGGTATCACTTTGGAAGTAGATTGCCCAACCTTCCTTCCAAGGAGTGGCTGGTGGTTCAAATCTTCTGGTTAGCAGTCAAGTGCCTTAGGTACTACGCTACCAAGGCTCCTAGCTTTCAAGATAAAAAGGTCGTGACTGAAAAACACATCAGGAGGGTG